GCAAATCTAAGCGGCTAATCATGTCTTCGGCAGAAAATATCTACATTTTGCTGAGGGCGTCGTCACTTGAGGTATGTTGTCTGCACTCGACGCGCATCTGGTTTCCGAAACCAAAGGATACCTTTTAGGTTGCCCGAAATCTGAATCTCATTGCTCGAAGTGGCCAGGCTATAGCCCTTGTGGGAGCATCAGGCTGTGGAAAGAGTACCGTGATTCAGCTTCTTGAGAGATTTTACGAGCCGGACAGTGGAAATATTGTGAGTTAATTTGAATGGGATCGGCCTTATAAAATTGGACTCTATTTAGTTTTGTACACAGTTTTATCAATCAATAGCTTTTCGTTTAGAAAATCGATAACAACGATTTGAAGCGGTTGTGTCGGGTTCATCTTCGCAACAACATCGCTCTCGTGGGCCAAGAACCTGTCCTTTTCAAGGGTAATTAATGATTTTTTCCATCCATATCTATTCTTGAATATTCTAAATATTTAGGGTCGATAATTGAAAACATCACGCTTGGACTGGATGGTGTTAGTGTGTCTGAAGTACAGGAGGCCTGTAGGCAGGCTAATGCGGCCAACTTTGTTGAGGCTTTCCCTCTGGTACTGCGGAAGTTGCCTTATGGGGAGATGACTGAATCTTTCATTAGCGGTGCTCATTTTCAGGGATACGAGACGGATGTCGGCGAGAAAGGAGGTAGCCTCTCAGGTGGACAGAAGCAGCGTATTGCTATAGCCAGAGCGTTGATTCGTAAGCCGAAGATCATTCTGTTGGATGAAGCCACAAGTGCGCTCGATACCGAAAGTGAAAAGGTACTAGCCGTATTGCCGTGACTTAGAGATCTCAATAAGGTCGATGTCAGACTTTGCGAATCGAACGATCCTGGCGATTGGCGATTCGCAAAGTCTAACATCGGCCTAAGGGTGAACATTGTGACAAAGAATACGGTACAACCCTGAGCGGCTCCTACTATCAAGATGACCTCCTCCTGAAAGTCTTCAGTTTCAGTGGTGCAAATCGCCCAACCTGACACCACCAACTCCCCCCCCCCCGAAATCCCTCTAGAACTCCCTCGAACAAAATGGGGTACGTGACTGCTTAAACAGCAAATTTTACGTCTTTATTTCACTTTCTCATCTTCTGTCCTTTACCAGCATCTAGGACCGTCTAATCCCAATCCGAAATAAAAAGGATCCCTTCAGCGAGCCCTGCCAAGGTCCGAACTGATCTAAGTCACGGTTTTTTTCACGTTCTCTCGGTTCGTGTCACTGGAACTGACTTCTACTCGAGGGAGATTCCAGACAAGATCGGAGAATCGAAGAAGAAGAGACAGCGGACCCTGAGCAGGGTCAACCGTTCACGTTCGCATACTTTTCGAAAAAATTGCCAACCCCCCCCACTTTGCCAGGTCTCTGTTCAACCCGCCCCCCCACCTACCGGCCCAGTCTTGAAGGTCTCCCATACCGATCTCTTTTTTCGGCCGAGCCACCGTCCCATCACCATTACGCTGTGTCTATATATTTGATTGCTGAGACGCAGTCGACACATCCCCAACCAACTCACCCACACTGCAAGCACTCTTTCAGCGCCTTGCGGGAGCGGGGCGTTACTTGACATCATGCAGCCTGAATCACATTCGCCAATTTCGCCCTTTTCCACAATTGTACGTAATAAAACCCGCGTCACATCCGCTCAAACTTCACTCACCCCTTTGACTTTACTCGAACCTCATCAACACTTCGCCTATGATAATTCTTGCTCAAGCTTAAAAAGCCGACCACAACCCCGTATCCTTCCCGACAATCAACAAATGTGAACCCCTCATTCGAATACTCCGACGTACGTGTGAACCTTCTGCCCTAAACGCGGACCAGCACGTATGTAAAATGCAGCGAACGATTTGCCACCCCTCGAGGCCGATGTCAGACTTTGCGAATCGCGCGATTCGCTACTAGCGATTCGCGCGATTCGCTAGCGTCCGCGGTCGCGTTGCGGTACCAGCCAATTGAGTGATTCACTGGCCGCGACGCGACCGCAGACGCTAGCGAATCGCGCGATTCGCAAAGTCTGACATCGGCCTAGCGAGCCCATCCTCGCGCTCGTGCCTCTACCTCACTACCCTGCCCGTCCTTAGCTCATCACAAGAAAAAGCGTAGCGTTGATGAAAGGCAAGCACTAATGAAAAACATCCTAACCCCCCAAACGGAGGGCAGTAGGCGATTATCCTTCTATCGGGTTCTAGATGTGTTTTCTTGTTTTTTCTTCATCTTCTCTCGCTCGCAACCACAGATCACCTCTACCTGGCTTTAGTGAACTGTTTTTTCATCGTAGATCGGTCTTCTTTAGTACTTGAGTATTATCCTCGTCCTTGAGTGTGAGCCTTTTACTTAGTTCATTTCATCCAGAAAGCTTGCCTGCTCTGCCTGCGTGGGTACCAATTCAAAGAAAAGATGATTTTAGAAGGTACTTGAAATCCTATTCAAAAGTTCCATCTGATGAAGGGTGGGAATGAAGACAAAATGTGCATGCCGCTGAGCCAATCCGAGCCGTGGCCTGTCATTAACTTTATTCAAGATGTATGAAGCATTTCGGCTATAGGTATCTGCTTGCAATACTGTACAGAGCCATGATGTGTAACCCAGTTGATTCTTTTCCCTTTGGAAACTTCCGAGCGAAAGACTCCGAGCGACCAACCTGCAATTGAGTTCCCAAGGTGACCAGCTATTTCACCTCTCATTCTTTAATATACCTCCGTATAACGTTCCGCATGGCACACTGTAGGCCCCTTTTGTAGTTGTGCAACGCGCTGAACGAAGCGAGCCATGGAAGGACGTCTGTGACAATTGCACACCGATTGAGCACTGTGAGAGACGTTGATAGGTAAGGTTTTATTTTGAGAATTTTCGGGCGGGGAATATTTCCACAGTTTTCTCAACAGTGTTTCAGGATATACTACATTGAAAATGGTGCGGTTGTTGAATACGGGACACACGAAGAGCTCATTGATGCCGATGGCAAATATGCCCTGTTGGTAAAAGGCACAACAGCTGGCCAGAGCTGATTAAACTCATTCAGCAACTTTCGCTTTGTATGTATTTTATGATCACTTAGCTTAAAAGCAGTGATGGCTTGATGGGCGGTGCGGTTTTGCCGACGTCAATGGACGTCATTGGTGGATTAGACCTCTCAGCGCTTCGGCGTTGGATGGGACCGCCTCCGGACGCCTTTCAACCAATGACGTCACCGCGAACCGCCGCCCCCAACCGTCGTGATCACTGCCTTTAAGAGCAGCGGTAGCCGCATATTAACCAGATCAGCACCCCGTGAGTTGGTTTCACCGCTCAAAACACCCTCAAACTAGGAACATAGTTGCTCAAGGTGCTTAGGTCACCAGACTCCACCCACTTATAGATTACCTCCATTGAATGGTATTGTACAACTAGAGGAACAAGAATAAGAAATATTGATTTTGAAAGCTTAACTGTTCCTGAAAATCGACGTATTTTCCTCGTTCTCATGTTTCCCTCCCTATTTTTGAACAACAGAGTCATTTTTTCGCCACTGTGCTATTGCGGTTATATTTATTGGTGTCTATGAGGGTGTTGCCAATTTTTATATGTTCGATTTTTAAGGCTCATTATAAGCTCATGTTCCACGCCTTCATCTCAGGTGCAGTATTGCCTACCATTAATTTGTCCTTGATCTGAGGAAATGTTGAATCCTTTTTCGAAGGTTACCGATGATTGTACCATCTATATCTGCTCCTGAATATTTGTTAAGAATCGATAATAAAATTGAAAACTCTTTCAACTTCCTCTAAAAAATCTAATCTTATCCAATACAAATTTATCGATGAAAGGTCACGCAAGCTGTATAAATGTTCTTCTAAAAGTCAAAGTGCTTTATTCAATACGGCGCTCACGGCCTTGGGAGGGGGTAGAAGGGTCATTAAAAAAGGCCTCAATACGGCGCTCATGGCTTCAAGGAAGGTGGAGGGAATCATTCAAAACAGGGGCGATTGTACGTGACACCAGAACTATGCACACGGGAGGGGAACAAAATCATGGAGACAACCCGCTTGCTCACAACCTCCCCCGAAATCTCTTCCTCTCCCTAAGGCCGATGCCAGACTTTGCGAATCGAGCGATTCGCTAGGTCCGCGGTCGCGTCGCGGTACCAACCAGTAGAG